GTGGTATATAATTCTAGGCTTAAAGTCTTTTTTTTTTTTTTTTAGTACAGGTTACAGGGTCTCACTATGTAGACTGGATTCACAATGATCTTCCTGTAATAGCCTCCCAAGTGCTAGAATTACAGGTGCGGGCCGCCAGGCCCAGTCTCAATTGCTACCATCTCAGTGCACCCCAGGGGTGGGACCAGCATGGCAGGCCTGGTGATCAAACCCAGCCCCTGTGTCTGCATAAGCAGGCACTTTAATCCACTGAGCTATTTGGCCAGCCCTTAGGCTTAAAGTCTTTGATGTGATCTTCAGAGTAAGTCTATTTGTATGAGGTTACAAGGTAAGAATGGGACTTCACATATATCTTTATGAGATTACTTTCTGAAACTTCTCAGTCTCGATGACTTCTTTCCATTTTCCAGGAACTCATGTTTTTGACCCTTTGCCAGAAAATTTTGCTTTAGTTTTTTGATTTATCATAAAATTCCTGGGGCTGCACCCATTTCTAGAGCCACTTGACTGGGGTTCAGGGGAATGGAAGAAAGAAAAAGACCATGAAATTTTGCGCAGCTGGTTTTGTCCTGTCTACTTGGAATCACAGATCTCTAGAGACTTTCTCCATCTTGCAGAGTCCTAGGCATTTGTGGGTACTCATGCCTGTCAGCACTGCTAATTCAAAATGAGACTGCCCAGGGGGTTGTTGGAGTGTGACAGTACTAGAGGAGGGAACTAGAGGATTTCCCCCATTCTATGTTAGGAACCCCTTTGCAGACCTAGAATCAAGAGTAATAGCTGTCTCAGAACGTCCTTTTCTACTGTAGGCCTCTGATTGTGCTAAGCTACCATTTTTAAGATTTTGGCTAGTGCTAGGGAGGTACCTCAGCTGTCCAAGTGCCTGCTGCCCGGACCCAGGTGCTGTCCTGAGAACCTCAGGCGTACTGTGCCAACCTCAAAACCAGGTGTGGTATCGCATGCCTGCAATCCCAGCGCTGGGGAGGCTAAGACAGGAGGGTCACTAGGAGTTCAAGCTGCGCATAGTGAGACTCTGTACAAGATAGATAAATAAGTGAATTTTGCAAAAAAGATTTTGGCTGTCCTGTGTCCAGGTGAGTTACCAGAGGAAAAACAAACTGAGAAACTCAGTTACTCAGTAGTACTGAGTTTGAAATGACTGATATTAGAACTTTCCCTTTGCTTAATGAGAGGCTCTGTTAGAGTTCACTCCCTAGGAAGAAACCAGTTCAGACTGAAGAATGAGTGAAGTGGCTCTGTTTTTAAGTGGGGGTGGTTTGGTAGCAAATAAATTCAAAGGCCATTTTTATTATTACAGATTTTTTAATTTTTATTTCCCTTTTTTTTTTTTTTTTTTTTTTGCTACTGTAGGGCTCAAACCCAGAGCCTTGTTCATGCTAAGCAAGTACTCTACCACTGAGCTGTCCCTCCAACCCACACTATGCCTTATTTATTTTATTTTATTTTATTTTATTTTATTTCATTCTTAGAAATCCTTTGGGTTTTCTCTGGCTTTTGTTCTTTGCTAGAGCATATGATATAAGGAAATAAGATTTTTCAATTTTGTCTTAAGACATGGTTTTTACACTAAGACATAACCATAATGTTGAAGACATGGCCTTTCCAGCATATTGCCTGAATTCCTAAAGGGCTCAAGAGGTCTCTGTAACCTGCTAAGTGAAAACTTCAGTATTAACACTGCATGGCGCACAACTGGCAATTTCTGTTAGGTTTTCCAGAGTCTTGTCATGGTATGCAGCCCATCTCTTGACCAAGGACTAACAGTAGATCTTTGTGTAGGCTCCCGAAACCCCCTTTTTCATATGCTTACATGCAAAAATACTATCTTGACCATTTCAGCTGTTTCAAATAACACCACACTCTTCTTTCCATCCTTAACAGAAACTTCTGCTCTCCTTGGGTTCTACCTTCTTGCACCAAGAACAAAGTGCTTTTAAGCAAAACCAGGACATTAGTGAGGTAGTTGTGGAGTTCACCTCTTGTATTTCCTTTCTGTCATGAGTCACAGCCATATTCTTCTTACTATCCAATATCTGAAAAGATATTGTATAAGTTTGCCCAGTGGTGGATAGCTCCTGTCTGTAAATCAAATCAGCTGCCTCTTACTCTCTAAGGGCTGGAAATAAGTCTTCAGTGTACATTAATTTCAGTGTACCCTGAGATTGAAATGATAGATATTAGAACTTTTCCTTTGGTTAGTGAGAGGCTCTATGAGTAGTCACTCTCTTAGGAAGAAGCCAGTTCAGACTGAGAGACAAATGATAGACAAGTGCCTCCATTTATAAAGGGTGGGGTGGCTTAGTAGTAAACTTTTTTCTCTTCCCTGGGAAATTAGACAAACAATAGATCTAAGAAAACAGACTGACTCACTTGGCTACAGTACTGTGCTGAAGTTACAAGCAAACTAACGATAATCTCCAAAACCAGAATCAAGTTTTGTGTACTGTGGAGTGAATTTTGCTGTCAATTCTGAGATACCTCATTTAGAAATCAGATATAAAATGCATAAATCTAATGACACTCTCAACCTTGTTATTGTTATCTCATCATGTTCTATAGTTAGACCAAACTCATGTAATTTACCTGTTAACTCTTGTTTAGGATGGTAGTTTTTGCTGTTGAAGAAATGAAAGTTTGCTGTAACCTCCTTTCCTTTTACTTTTCTTCAGTGTGTTTTAACTCTATCCCCTAGGGAACAGCCCATCCTCAAAGTGAGGGGTACATAACAAAATGAGAACAGATGAGGGGGGAGTAAAGATTCTGGTAGGGAGAGAAAATGAATGGAGCTAAGTAATAGGTCATAAAGTGAATAAGGGTGGAGTACAGGAGGGAAATAGAATCCTAGATCTGGAAGAGACAAGTCATCTGGTCCAGACTGTCTCTCAACAGGTCAGGAAGGGGTGTTTGGGTGGACCTCTTTTCACATCTGGATTTAACTTCTCTTGAAAATTTTCAGCCCTTTGCTTTTCACCAACGCTGATTTCTCCTGGGCAAGTTATGTGGCAGTTCCTCCTCCATCCCTAGGATGAAATTCTTGGAGTGAATTTAATTAGCTTTAATAGTGGACCATTCCTTTTCCAGGTCTGCTTCAGGTTTAGGTCATTCCACTGGCCTCACAGCAACAGGGCAGGTCTGCTGGGCACTCAGTAATTCACTGGGTGGAGAGGAAGAGCTTCTGACCTGACCATCACACTGTACGTCTAACACCCCTGAGCTATGAGGATGTTATGTGCAGAGATGGGTGCGACTTTGAGTTGGACATTTTAAGGTAGTTTAAATTCTTGTTCTCCATGAGAGAAGCTTATAGTTGCCTACCTTCCCTAACCTACAAATCCACCCCCTTATTTTATTCACTACTAGAAGTGAAACTTTGGCAAGTTAGGATTCCTCAGAGGCCAGCCATCTCTTCCACCAGTCCCAAGTTTCTGGATTTAATTCAACAAACTGTGAGAGAAAAGATAGTGAAGGTAAATTGTACCTTACTCCTCTGCTTTGTGAGGAAGAGGGCTAAGGCGCCTCAGGACAGGGCTTGACGAAGTGCTGCTATTCGGTGTGATTTGCCCCTCCCCCGCCGCCTGCGCACGTACTCCAGGAGAAATGAGCCCCCTCCCCGCCCTGGAGAACAGCACAGACAGCACAACTTCCCCTGGGTCGCAGCCCAGCGATACGAAGCAGCCCTGGCTCGGAGCCCTGCTCTTCCCGAGTCGTGGGTGGCGTAGTGCTTGTTTCCCTCTCCTCCCTTTCCGGACCCAAACGGGGACGTATCTGGGTCAGCCTGGGAGGGGCCGGACCTGCCCGGGACCAGCGTGGGGGAAGGGGGTGGCGATGACAGCATCTTTCAGGTTTTTGGCATCTCTGGGCTGAGCCTCGTCTAGCCTCTCACCGTGCTCTTGCTGGGTGAGAGCTGACGTTTTGCCGGTTCCGGCCCAAGAGGTGGGCGGAATGGGGTTGGGGAAGCCCGTTTTTTCTATCTAGACGCCCACTAACACCTTATGAACAATGAGGCGCCAGTGACCCCCCATCCCTGTTCTCCAGGGCATGCTCCTCGGGGCGGGTGGTACATCCCCCGCCCCAGGAAAAGAGCAGTGGAACAGTTCACGGCCTCTGGAGTTCCTGGTCTTCCTTCCTTTCCGGTGATAAACGGTGGGGCTAGAAGCCAGTTGCTGCTCGCGATGCCCTCCCTACCCGCCGTCCCAAGCTCCTATCTGAGCTCTGTGTGGCCCCAGTTTCAGGACCAAATGTCCCGTTGCTTCCCCTAGAAACCTAGCTAGAGCGCTAAGGCAGCAAGATGTACACCCTATGTTGGGGCGCAGACCCTGTGGATGCCTGGCTGTCTTGGATCTTCCCTGTCACGCCAGGGAGGAGCTGGGTTAGCGTGAAAACCGCACCTTCCCGGGTGCGGGTGCTTTGGCTATGATTACTGGGTGAGGTCCCCAGGATCACGGCCCAGAGGCCCGCTTTACAAGCTCCGTATATCAGGGCAGCACCCAGGAGCCAATGCCCCTTGTCTTCGTTACCCAGAGGCCTAACCCTGCCTCCCCAGTCTCACCCCACACACCCAGAGGCTCCAAATGTAGTGTTCTCTTCCCCCCAGTGTGAGCGAGAGAAATGAAGCTGTGAGTTGAAAATCCTTTCTGGGTTCTCCTGAACTGTACGCAGCAATCTCCTTAGCCTTCCCCTCCAATCCTCCTTTGCACTGTTGCACTTCTGAGGACTAAGGTTTGCTTAAGGGTGGTCTCCGCTATCGAAAATACATGTTCTTGTGCTCAGGGACCACAGATGCTCTTTGGTCAGGAGCTTCCCTGGAGGAGTCTGCCTCCTCAGTGCCCACGGTCACGCAGACACATTCTTCTTCCCCTTTCACTTCACATCCAGACATCCCTTGCCATCATTTCCTTGCATCTGCTCCTGTATCAAATCCCGTGCCCCACCCGCCCCGCCCGGCGCAGCGCCCCCTCCCTCAGCTGCGCTCGCCTGGAAGCAGAAGGGACAGGGACTGGCGGGAGGTGCGCAGAGCTCTCCGGGCTGCCAGTGCTCGCTGCGCCTGGGGAATTGGGCTGTGGGCGAGGCGGCCCTGGCCGGCCTTTATCGCTCCCCCGTTCGTCTTTTGAAACTTTATCAAGGAGTCTCACCACTCGCTGCAGACGAGAGCAGGGGGCGGGGGCGAGGCGCCGGCAGCGTGACGAGGCGCTCCGGTGCTGAGCGCTTCTGCTCCGGGCACGCATGGCGCCCGCACACGGAGTCTGACCTGATGCAGACGCAAGGGGGTTAATATGAACTCCCCTCTCGGTGGAATCTGGTTCTGGCTCCCTCTGCTCTTGACCTGCCTCATCCCTGAGGTCAGCTCTTCATGGTGGTAAGTCCATGGACCAGGGTATGGGGTGGATTTTTGGAGACGGAAGCCAGGACCGCACTGGCCACATAGACCTTACCACGTTCCCCGCAGCTTGGCAGTTGTGAATTAAGGTCTGAGCCCAGACAGCTACCCTCTCCTATCCCAGCATCCTGAACTGAGCCCCTTTGCTTTTCTTGTAACCTATTACAGCTTTGACAACTCAAAAAAAAAAAAAAAAAAAAAAAAGAAAAAAGAAAGAAAAAGAAAAAATCACATACCCCTTCAAATGAGAGCTCTGATGTTTGGGTATTTGGATCCAGCTGAGCGACAGAAACATCAGTCATGTTCTCACCTCGTTGAGAGACTCCTTAGCCTGGTCTCTTGCTCTAGCAGTGTGTATATGCACATGTGCGTGTGTGCGTGTGCGCGTGTAAATTCATCTTGAAAACTATTAACCATCTCCCCCACCCCAGTGTTCTCAAGAAACTTGGCTAAGGATAAACCAATTCAAGCAGTCAGGAGCTGTAGAGCCCAAAGCTTGTGCTTTTGCTTTATTTCCTGTCCTTCCACATTCCCGATGTTTCCTCCCAGTGAGGCAGAAGAACATTTTGCTGCCTACAAGTAGAAACTATAGTCTTGATACAAAGCTACTGCCCTGAGGTGTCCAAAATGTTGCCCTGCTTGAAACTGTCACCCAAGAAGTAACTTTGATGCTGTCCTTAGTACACTGGTTTACAATATATTTATTTTGCATAGTGATGGGCATAAGTAAAAAGTTTTAAAGGCATAAGCCTGACTCTCCAGAAGCTCTCCCCCCGTCTCTGGGCTGTCTGATCTTGGAAAGAGATGGAGCTGAGAACTCTAATTTTTCTTTCCCTCATATTTCAGAACTGATATTAAAATACTTAGGAAAAATTGGTTAGAGTGGGCTATTTTTCACTGGCATTGATAAGGAATCTCAGCCAAAAGAAAGAATAGATCAGGGGATGTTTGAGGAAGGCTGTGGAGCTCTTCACCAGAACAAGGAAAGCCTGGATGGGAAGAGAGGGTCAGTTCTTTCCTAAGCTTCCTTTGAACAAGAGGGTGTGTAGCCTTGACATTGCTGACACAGGATCAAAGATTGATTTATCAGACTGACCATTTTTCAATAAAATGAATTTCTGTTTCCATGGGTGTATAAACATTATTTATTGCTCAGGCATTTTGTCACATTGTCTCTCAGCTGTCACTTAAATATATTTTTTGGAAGTCACAGCTGTAACGATTTTATGATCATATAAAATAATGAAAATACAAGAAAAAGACATTCTCCTTGTTTGATCACTTCAAAAAACACCTATGGCAGCTTGGGTTTATATAAAAGGTACCTTTCTAAACATTTCACAACTAATAGAGAACATCTGGGTAGGGATGATGATGTAATTTTTTTGTTAAAGTTTCTTTTCAGAAAGTACTTTATGGAGCTATAACACTGTTTGATTCTTCCAAACATTTAGTGTCCTTAATAACAATAGAAAGAATTCTTTTCCAAAGATTTTCTATAAAAGCCAAAAACAACTAGAAAATGGAAATATTTAAAGGATTCTTTAGTAAGGAAAGAGCAGCGTGTCTGAGCAGAGTGTAATATCAGATACCAGCAGGTGTAGATTAGATAGATTCAGATAGTTTTTAAGACATTAGGTCAAATAAATAGGATTGAGGAGCTTTTAAAAGTCGACCTCTCTCAAAGCCAAGTCCAGACACATGGTGTCACACAGAACAGAATATTCTTTGGGAAAGAAAATCCCTCAGCCCCCAGGGAGCACAGCCCCCATTCACTTCTCTGGCTGTACTGCATGCAGATCTTGCTTCTGTCACCTGAGTGGAGCATCGTGCTGTGGTGCTTGCTTGTTTTATGTAGAAGAGACACTCATCACTCCATTTAGGGCAGCCTCCTAACAGCTCCCTCCCAATGCCTCCTTGCCTGCTGCTTTCCTGAACGGAATAACCATTGATTCCTAAGATCGTCAGATGCATGGGGCATTCATATTTGAAGAATGCTTTGAACTTGGCTCTCCTGGTGAACAGTGGGCCACCCTGGCTACTCAAATTGCTCTTCCTTCTGTATTGGCTCCTCACAGGTACATGAGAGCTACTGGTGGCTCCTCTAGGGTGATGTGTGACAATGTGCCAGGCCTGGTGAGCCGCCAGCGGCAGCTGTGCCACCGCCACCCAGACGTGATGCGTGCCATTGGCTTGGGAGTAGCGGAGTGGACTGCAGAGTGCCAGCACCAGTTCCGCCAGCACCGTTGGAACTGTAACACCCTGGACAGGGACCACGGCCTCTTTGGCAGGGTTCTGCTCCGAAGTGAGTGTCCTCCCTCAACCCCCTCTGTGAGCTGCTCACACCTCTCTCCGTTTATGGTCTCCAGAGCTCTCCCTCATTCCGTCCATTTCTTCAGCTTGTGCCCTGTGGGGAGTATTGCCTTACCTTACATGTGACACCTTGGAGAAATCGAAGGATATTTCTAAAGTCTTCCCAGGTCCTGGTCCTACAAGACGACATATGTATCTTTGCACTTCTTGCTAGATCACTTAAACTATGCTTGTCCCTCCAGGGCCAGATTCTGTACTGAGAAGAGAGGCAGCCATAGCACTCTTGACTTTTCTCCTTGTCTTTCTTGGGGCTTGAACATTTCAGAAGAATTTGAGCAGAAGATCAGGATGGAATACTCAAATCTTTTATTAGCCAGATTTTCATAATTTTCTTTTAAAACCTACGAAAGTGTTATAAAGAAGCAGAGATAAGTATTTACCATTTATTCCTATCCTGTCATTTGGCTACTTGGCCTTGGATCAATCTGTGTCTAAATTAAACATTTTCAATAGATTGTAAATTCACTAAGGGCAGGGACTAGCCTGTGTTCCCTACAGTTTGCTTGGTGCCACATACACTACAGGTCATATTCCTTTATTACAAGGAATGACTTGAACTTTTAGTGAGTGCCTGTTATTTTCCAGCTCCATTTGCCTATTCATGTATGTTTGTGGAGGTTTATTTTTTTGTTTTTGGTGCCGAGAACCAAATCCAGGACTTCCAGCTTGCTAGGCAAGCATTCTACCACTGAGCCAAATCCCCAGCCCCCTTGTACACGTTTGAAGTATCTAATAATTATATTTATTGTGGTGAGTCAGTATAATAATTTATGAAAGACAGGGATAAGAACCATGTATGTGGATTTATTTTTCCTTAGAACATTAAACATTATCAAATTATATAATAAACTTTTTGAAAGTTCTGAATATTAAAAGTAGTTTGCTAACTAGTATATAATCAGAAAAAATTAATTAAAAGCTAGATTTTACTTTCAAATAATACCTATCCTCTAATCTGGCACAATTAGCATTATCTATGAAATAACATGGCCAATTTGCTATTGGGAATCTGCCTAAAAACACAATAGCTTATGTGCAAACCCCAGAAAGCGGGAACTTTACACTTGCTTTTTGCCCACCCCCACGCCCCATTCCCAAGAAAATCATCCAGGCTGTGCACTTGGTAATGCTTAACAGAGGGTGTTTCTATCATGTAATCATCGCAGCCCTAGGGTTTTATGAGGCCAAATGCATAACTGAATGTCTCTAAAATCCCCCATGGGCGTAGTACTCTCAGTCTTAGAGTATCCCAAAAGTTAATTTACTGTGATATTCTGTAATTTTATTCTCCAGTTTAAGAACTGTATTCTTCTGCATTCCTTTTGGAGTTTCAATATGACATCGCAAATTTTTGAAAGGATAATAGTAAATTTCAGCTTCATGGAATTTTAAGACTTCACCTAGATTAGCTCACCACTGAATCAATTAAAGTGTTAGGACTTGTCAAAGAGAATTTGCAAGTATCTAGCACAAGTAATCTTGAGATATTTGCAGGCTCAGAATATTAAAAGATGTATAAAGATTTTTCTTAATAAAATTATAGCCATTTTCCAATGATTTAAAATTAGATGCACTTCTCATTTGTAGAATGATCACCTCACCATCCATTATAATGTCTTTATATTAAAAAACTCTTTAGATCACAAATCAAAGAAAGAAGTGTTGATTGTGATTCTAAAGATAGTATATCTGCAAAAGCTGGAGTTGCTGAAAGAGACAGGTTAGAACTGAAGGAAATATAACCAGCTTGACTTTGTCTGAGATCTCAGGTAAATAAGAGATTCCAACTTGCACTTCTTTCTGATTTCTTTTGTGTCCAGCTGAATGCTTTGGCAAAGTTTTCAGAACTTCAAATACTCACGCTACACAGTTTCTTTCCTTTCTTCCCAGAAGACCAGATTCCTTCCCAGACATTTATGCAGACTCCGGTGACTATCAGTGACAATTTTGTGTTGGTAATAAGAGGGTTGACCTTGGCTCAAAGCAGCTTATCTTGGAAATAATCATGAAATTCCAATAAAGTTAACTGAAGATTTTTACAAGTAATTGCTTAGAGAGAAATTTGCATATTAGAGTTTTGAATTCTTTTTAAACCCAAATATGCCTGGTGAATAGAGAAAATGAACAGGAAAGATGTTGGAGTTACTAAAACATCCCATCCATGGTTAGGGAGAAATGAAGTACATTTGTCTGCTTTTCTTTAGAGAGCCAGAGCAAGAAAGTACAATGTTTAGGAACATTCGTAGTTTTCTTTTTCAACATATAGTCATTAGTTATAGGCAGAGACAACTGCAAAAAGTTCTTCAAAGCAGGAGTAATATACTTCCAGAATTCTAGAATAAGCCTTATGAAACAAAAGATTGATTAAGTCTCATCTTTGTAATATAAAAATAGCCCTCCCCAAAACCAGAAAACATTTTTAAAGAGAATTTTACAATCCATGACCTTTCAGCAACATTGAGGCCATTAGTGAGATTGCTATAGAGATTGCTGTCGGGATAGCATGCATTGCTACCTGGAATAGCATACAGATTGCTATCCCAGGTAGCAGTCTCTAACTTAAACAAAGACTTTGCCTGTGTGCTTGGGCCAGGGAGATGGCTCAGTAGAATAAGTGCTTTCCTAACAAGTGCAACGGCCTGAGTCCAATCCCCGGTTCTGAAAAAAAAAACAAAAAACAAAAAAAAAACATTGCTTGACTTATTGCTATCCAAAAATAAGAGACGCTTCCATATTAACATACTAGAAAGTATAAATATCACCATTTTGATTTAGATTTTATTCCATTTTGTGATGGCCTTAATAAGAATCAGTTTTTCTAAGAAGCCCAGGATCAAAATTTCTTTTGTTACAAAGCCAGCTCTTGAGATGTGCTACTATTTCACACATAGCATTTTAGTGATTCATCTGAAGCACTTAACTGAAAACATCTTAAGGCCCTATCTACAAGATACTGCAACATCTGCAGAGAAACATGAAAATCCACCGATGTGCTCAATTTTTATTTAAATAAACAAACATCTATCTATTTAGTAATCCACTTGAATAATAAATGACAAAAATTTAGAAGGGTGGTGTTTTGCCTTGAAATTATTTATGAAATGTAGCAGATTATGATTTTTTTCATCCAACGAGTAATGTAATTGTTTACAAGTTATACCAGGATGCATTCAGTGCCTAGAAAATTTATCTTTACTGCTTTTAAAATATGTCTGGTTACTGACATACTTCACATCTTCTGTGCCTTTCCCCCAAAGAGACCAGCTCATAAAATTTATCAGGCAGCCTTTAAAAAAAATAAAGTAGTGCTAAGTATATTAAGCATTTAACAATTTTCACTCCATATTATATCTCTAAACATGGACAGTAAAACAAGAGTTTAGAAGATAAATGGAGTAGCTATGAACAGGGATTTTCACAAAATGGATATTGCAAATGTGTATAAGAAAACTTTCATTTATCCAAAAGCTGCTACCTGAGATTAAGCCACATTTGCACCTATAGGTTACTTTTTTTTTTTTTTTTTAACATGTATCTCACTTCCAGCCAGAATATGCATGCTCCCCATAATAATGAGCTAGGACTCCAACACATCTCCATGATCACACATTCCTCTCTGGAGAATACAACCTGCTACCTATGGCACATATTCATCTCATTGATTTTACCTAGCTGTAGTGCATGCCTAAGCCCTTTCTTGATGTTTAGAAGTTTGAAAGATATTTCTGAAGGCTGAGGTAAGTGCATTTAATATGGTGTAGACATATTTTCCTGATTTCTAATGAGACTAGCAGAGCAAATATTGCAAATGACATATAATAAATTTTAGCACTGAATGACAAACGGAAACAAGCAGGGCTTCCATGCAAAAAGGTGGTTTGTTCTCCCAGCTGTGTGGTTCAAAAAGTCACACACACGTGTCTTGACATATTGAATGGCCAAATGATTCTCTGCTTTCTGCCTTGCATTGGCATTAGGTTGTCCAGTTTCTATTTTGATTGTTAATATATTTGCTGCAGCAACCATTAATAAAAAGGCATGCTAATAACAATGAAATACAGCTCTACTTGAAAAACGAGGTGCACATGGACCCTAAAGAGCCTTATATCTGTCACTATACCACAACACCGTGTTATGAGTTACTACAGATTATTAAAATAATTTAATGTAGTTATTGCACTGAAATATGTACCTTTCAGCCTGTAAGTGAAAGTAGCCTGTGTTCTAATAAAAGTTCTAAGAAAGCACCCCAAAGGGTTCTTGCCCGAGTCTAATTATAGGCGGTAAATTTGTTTCCTTCCAGAAAAACTAACGAAAAACTTTTCACTGTCTTTTACCTAATACTAGTGATTAGTGCAGGTGTTCCAAAAGAAAGTAAATTCCCCTTAATAGTTAGACATAGCATGTAACTCAGGGATATTGCACACTGCCTTCAACATCTCTCAATTACTTGTGAAAGTTGACGTGAAGCCAAAGCTCTCCAGTGTTAGCACTAGGGGCTGGTTACTGCCTAAATTCTCCTCCCATCTCAACCCCTAGATTTCTCTGCATCAGAATTTCAGTGTGGGTCAGTAAAATGCCCAAAAGTGTCCTCAGTAATGTGTGGAGATTCAGAAGGCATTTTGCTTTGGTTTTCCTACATTGGCCTCAGTCTCCTGCATTCAAGCAGTCCTCCCTATGCAGCCTGCTGAAAAGTTTGGACCACAGGCATGTGCAACAGTACTCATTTTGGAAGGTATTTTTGCAAGGAAAATTGTGGTATCTTTAGCTCTCAACCCTATTGTGGAATGAATAATGGAATTCTATATTATTTTATGAGTGAAGACACTACAGTTAGAAAAAATCCACTGCACTATTCTGTGACATCTATGGTCCCAGGTAAATAAAGGGCAGGCATGTATCTGAGACTCATGAACCAGTAACTGGGCAAGGGCTTTTTTTTTTTCTTTCTTTTATACTCTGTATTTAAGGAGAGCTGCCTGAGATAGCCAAATTAATGGAAATCTACCTTATGTGGAGATTCTTTATATTAAAGAGTGTCTTTTTTTTTTATTAATTTTGTTGAGAAACAGAAATGAGACAGTTTCAAAACTGATTAATAGGACAGTTTCAATAATTAATGCATTGCATATTGTTATCTTCTTAGTGGTTATCCATAGTACAAGATGCAGACATGATATCCTGTCCAAATACTATTAATACAAATCTTTCTTCTCATTGAATTAAGAGAAAGTTACCATATATCTATCCTATTTTGTATGTACAGATACAAAATGGTCCTTCATTTGTATCCCCTTTTTTTGTTTAATTTTGTTAGAGACAGGTATTCCATTGCCATTTAAATATTGTAGGTGCATGAATTCAGCAAAATAATCCAATATAGTCCAGTAGTCCATAATTGTAGTGGGCTATCCGTAGGACTGGCAATGTTAGAAGTTGTTGACTTGAGCCTTTCACAGCTCAGCATATTAATATGACTTTACTTTTTATACCTCGTTTTTATACTTTTTTGCTGGATTGTTAAGATCAAGATAAAGCAAGGCCTATATAACAAGAAGTGTAACTTTTGTGTCTGATAAGGTCAGTCAAGTCCCCTCAGGATTTGTCCTGAAACCTTGTACCATACTTTGTAGATCCTTTGTCAGTGTTAGCCATGTGGATGAATCATGGCCATTCTTGACCGATTTGCTCTTTGTGAAAGCCTGAGAGAATGTTTTCTCTCCATGTGATTCTCCTCAGGCACACTCTACATCATCGAGCACATTGCTCTGTGGCCCCATAATCTTCTTGATCAGAAAATTTGGGACACAACTGAGTTACATGATGTTACAGTGAAAGTTCTCCTATGTCCTGAGTCTTCACTGACCCTGAAAGGCTAGGGCCAAAATGTTGGCTGTCCTTTCAGCCCTTCCTTTTCTCTGATTTTTGGTCTGCAAACTTAGGTTGTTAACCCTCTAGAAGAGAAGCTTATTATTACCCTACAACATATGCAGTTGGGTTTAACCTCACTATCAACTTTACGTCTAAAGAGTGTCTTGGCTGTAGAAAAGAATCTTTCTAGACTACCAGTTTCAGAGGCAGATCAAGTATTGAACAGTCGCTATGTGAAAATTACTAGAATTAGTGCTCCCAGACTACTTTTAAGAAAATCATTTGTGTTTCAGGTAGTCGGGAATCTGCCTTTGTTTACGCCATCTCCTCAGCTGGAGTTGTATTTGCCATCACCAGGGCCTGTAGCCAAGGAGAATTAAAATCCTGTTCCTGTGATCCAAAGAAGAAAGGAACTGCCAGAGACAGCAAAGGCATCTTCGACTGGGGTGGCTGCAGTGATAACATTGACTATGGGATCAAGTTTGCCCGAGCATTTGTGGATGCCAAGGAAAGGCAGGGGAAGGATGCCAGAGCCCTGATGAATCTTCACAACAACAGAGCTGGCAGGAAGGTATGGAAATGCAACTGTACCCATTTTGAGGGCCAGAAGGCCTTATGAGTCACTTACACAGAGCTTATCTTATCTTGCTAGAATTGATAAAATGCTGCATAGGCACAACTTCCCATAGCCCCCAGGCCAGAGCTTTTTGCTCTAAAGGACTACCAACTGTATTTAAAGAGCCCCGCCCATACCTTTCTTCCCACAGCTGAACTGAGGGAGTCTACCCACTGCTTTTGGCATTGTATTTAGTCAGTTGTTTTATGGTCCCTTTGAATTCTCTACCATCTTGGGTAGGAGGTAAAATCCATGGGTTAAGATAGTGCTTTATACTACAAGCCAGTGTTATACTGAATGCTTGCAATTAAACAATGCCAAGACTCGGAGTAAACCTGGGATGATGACACCCTCCTATAATCCTAGCACTTTGGGAAGCTGAGGCAGGAGGATCACAAGTTTGAACCCAGCCTGGACAGTTCAGCTTAGCAAGACCCTGTCTGAAAATTTAAAAAATGCTTTGAAAGGGTGCTATGGATGTTAGCTCAGTGCAGAGGTGCAGGCTCAATCCCTAGTACCACACACACACAAAAAAGGTCCAAATTTTCTCTCCCAAATTTTTCATGGAAGATTCAGTAGGCATAGTTCGTTGGGTTGTTTCGTAAAGCCAGACCCATCTCAGCTCATTAAACCCCTCACTGGGGTTGCTGGTCCTGGATAAGCGAGAGAACCAGAGGGCGGCCTGGCCCCTTCTCCTTTCACTCTGACAGCCTCTGGGCTAGGGGTGTCTGGCCCGTACTCACTCTCTGACACCCATTTGTTAGATGGAGTACTGGAGGCCTCGAGCTGCTCAAGTGACGCAGTAGCAAAGTCAGGACTAGAACTCAGGTTTCTTCGCAATTAGAATGACCAGATCTGAGGGTCACATTTCATGCCTTTGAGTAGAAAGCACAAACTGGCTGAGCTAAACAGATGCTTGGTCCGAGCCGTTATGGAATAATCTAATTGCTAGTGGAACGAGATAACCATGATTTGCCTCTTATCAACACAACCGAAAATGTGCATGATATTAACCTATAAAGAAAGATCAGCATGAAATTGAAAGGCCCCAAGGGGAACTTTAATATAAAAAAGAATAGAAAAGAATGCAGATTTGTTTGGATCTGGAAAGAACAAATATCTTTTAAAATAAATTCAAAGGAAATAACTCTTGCTTTAGCTATGAATAAATGTGACCTGAACTATTTACAAATAGTACCTTTCTTAAACTTTTAAAAATAAACATTATTTTCATGAATTTATGAACTTATAGTGACCACTGCCAAGAATATAGACTATGGTTGTGCAATCCTGTGAGTGTTGGTAATTGCTGTTTGTGCAATGATTTAGATAAAAGAATTTACACTGACCTTTGCTTTGACCTTGATAGCACATGTACAAGTTATAAAGTGTGGTGCCTTTGATAGGAGTGTGCTGCTTAATTATTCCAGCAGGGCATACAGTTAGATTACTCTGTTTGGAAAGATAAAGGCATATGGTCTTACACTGTACCCAAAAGAATGTTGACTTATCAAAATAAATGTTAATTTTGCATAATAAGTCATAGATATTGAATGTTTCAACTCTTAAGACAATAGATCTTAGCTATTATATTCTAAGCCCTGACTAAACACAACTTTTAATGTAAATCACATGATTATTCACTGTGTAGAGGTGAACAGCTGTCAGGCCTCAGATATTCTCCTGCCTACTCTGCAAAACTTAGGAGCCTACTTTTGATTGGAATAAAAGTGCACATGCTGACTTTTTAAAATGTGGCTTTAATTAATGGTGGGTGGGCAGACTTTTTCAAGGAGATGCATGATGTCAGAGAGTATGAACTTTAATGAGAGTAAATGTATTGAGATAAACATGCGTCTCTAATTCTCTTTTTGTGGTCATTAGACCCCCATTTTTTACTCCCCCTTTGTACCAGCAGGTCTGTGGAATCAAAATGAGAACAGGCTGGGCTCTTGTTTCAAGGCAGACCTTCTGAGCTAAAACCTTCAACTAGCCTGTTCTAGAAAACCCCAGTCTACCAGGGATGCTACAGTGTCAGTCTGTTCTCCTCCTGCCCCTTTCTCTTTCTCCTCTCCTCTTTCCCCTTCTCCTTCTCCTCCTTCTCTTTTCTCTTGTTCTCCTCCTCTTTTTCCTCCTCCTCTTCCTTCTTTTTCCTTCTTTCTCCTCTTCCTTCTCCTGCTCCTGATCCTCCTTCTCTCTATTTTTTTTATTTACCACATGTCCAATATGAATATCTACTTTTCAAACTGGTAGTAGTAATGGTAAAGGAGGCCAATACCTTTTTAGTGTTCCCCCCTCCCGCCAGCTCAGCCTGCCCTGAGGGCTGGTGCGGCATGTGGTGCTGGCCTCCAATCTCCATCCCTTGTACCTGCCTAAGCTTGCATAAGGCTACTTTGGACTACTGAGCTATCTCACTTGCCCCAATACCTTTTAGTTAAAAGAAAAATTGTCTCTTACAAAATTGTCTGTTCAGCCAATACTAAAAGAATTGAATGTTGTCATTCGTATCAAGTCTTAATCTCCCCAATAGTTAATTAGTTCAATTCATTTATGATAGCAGCTGGTTAGAGCACCCTCACGTGTCTCTGCACTGTAATATCCTTTAGATCCTCTGTGCTATCATTTTTTAAATCAGTTGCCTTGTTCACTTGGGACTCATCTTTCATTAAGTCAGTTTTCCACTCTCAAATAGAACTGAAAAGATAAATCTGCTTGGCTCAAAAACAAACATTAAGGACCAGTGAGATAGCTCAGTGGATTAGTGCTTGCTTAGAAAAGTGCAGAGACAACGATTCGATCCCCAGGACTACAGGCGTGCTGCTACCACCCCCGGGGTGCTGAGCCTGCCACTGAATCTAGGTGTGGTGGTGCACGCCTGCAATCCCAGCACTGGAGAGGCTGAAAACAGGAGGATCACTACGATTCCAGCCTGTGTAATGAGATCCTGTACCAAATACATAAATTAAAAAACAAAAAACATTATTCTCAGGGAGGAAGTTCCATGGCTTCCTTTACTCTTTCCACGTCTAAAGAAACAATACTATGTAAACTTCTAAATTATATTCTGAGGTAGGCTTTGGCAAACTACAAGCAAAAGTGCCTGGTCATTACCCAGCATTGTTCCTTTCCATTTGCTTTTAAAACGCTTTTAAAGTAGTCCACTCTCGTTTAAGATGAAATAATCATAACTAATTTTTGTAAGAAAATAACTCGTGTATCCAAACAAATACTGCCCATTCAGCCACTCTAGAAATTTCCATAAAAATGTCAGAAATTCATAAAAACATTTTCTCCAGAAAAGTGTCTCTCATTATAGGAGAAACAGAAAGGACTCAGAATTAGAGATCAGAACACTTTAGCATTAATCATGCAATACCAGTGACTTTGCTGACTGGATTTCAATTACTGTCATAAGTAATGCAAAAAATAATGTGCGTGGTTTTATGGAAAGACAAGTTTAAGGCACATAGCAGATAATGTGGCATATAGTAGGTGCTCAGGATAAGGTAGTGAAGTGGAAGTTTTTTGTAACTCAGGAAAGAAAGCTTGGCATGACCCAGTGTGAACTGTTACTCAAAGTTCAATCAGTTTACTCCATCTGTTTATACACTCATTTTTCTGTACAGTCCAGCACACTAATAAAAAAAGGTGAAGAATATTTCCTAATTGATAGAGTACTGCTGAATGTTTTATAACAGGATCTTTCTGAAATCCCCATAGGAACATAAAATACTGTAGTATTAATATTTCTATTTTTCAGATGAGAAAATAGGCCTCAGGCAAATGAGAATGACTAACCCACAGTCATATAATCCTGTAATGCTGAGCTTGAGGGTTCAGACCCAGTTGTGTTTGCCTATAGGCATTTGTCTGTGTTTCCTTATTAGCTGTGTTGAGAGTTTCCCAGAAAGAGATAAGCAGTATTTCTATCCTTAATAAAAAGAATAGCAGATGTTGCTTTGAAAGGTAGATTTATTGATGACTTTTCCCCCTTCATATGTTTTCACAGATTTTTAAAATTAACATGCACCTATGTTTAACAATAGGAAGAAAGTTTTAAGTTGAAAATATAACTGACCTTATCTGAGGGATTTACAAAATTCCAACTAATGGCACTGTATGTTTGAAAGCACTATTTCTGTGTCTCCTTGGACTATCTCTCAATAGACGGCTCAATAGATAATTGATTAAGGCATTTACTTTGGTACTAAGTCAGATGTAAATAAAAAAAGAATAAAGTACAGAAACCCCTGACCATAAGAGACCAATTTTTATTCAGGGAGACAAAAGCTGTGTAAGTGCAAAACAAGGTTTGCTGAGTGGCATCATAGCAAAGTTAGCAAAGGGTCCAGCCGTGGGGGAAAGAGTTGGGCACTGGAGCTGGAGGTAAGATTTCCCATGGCCAAGAAAGGCCAACACTTTTTAGGATGAAGGGACTGAAAAACAAAGAGACACTGGAGGACAGTGTATCACGAAGTTGGGAAACATTGAGGCTGCTGCAGGAGAGCCCAAGACATGGTTAATGGGAGCTAAGGCTGGAACAGTCTTGGCCGTGCCTGAAAAGCCTCGAGTTCCTGGTAGAGACCTATGGGTATCCCAGGGAAGGGATGTGGAAGACAAGGAATGAGAGGGAGAGATTTCAATAACTTTTATGCATTTAATTTTCCTAGAGTTCATTTTTGTAAATTGATGAATATTGGATTTCAAAGTTTCTGTAAAATTTTTGGACCAGTGACTTACAAAATAGATTTACTAGGAAAATTATGAAATAACTATCTCCCTGTAAATGTGCCCCACTGGGTTGCTGGGATGAAAAAAGACCCTTCCAAGTTCCGTGCATTTCATTTTTAGCCTTAAGTTTAAATATAAAGTACAATATACTAAGCTTCTCAATGTTTAAGCAAAAATTTACATGTGGCAACTATGTTGATATTTACATGGTATTTTAACAGACT